GCCAAGAGCACAGCGGCGGCCTGCTCAGAATCCGTACTAGCACATAGCTTCTCAGATGGTTTGTATTAGAATCAGTCCTCGTGTGAGATGTCTTCAGCACAAGGAGCCAAAAGTCTCTGCCATCACTGCATCATAGCCCAGCCTGTATGCGCGCACTCGCATTGCATAGCTCGGGAGGCTTCCTCCGGAGGCTTCCTCCATGCTACGGTCGGCGGCCTACGCGTGTCCGAATTATAGCAAGTGCAATCACTCACCCTCTGGGAAGCAACCACTCCTTCCTTCTTAGGTTCTTCTCTCCTGTCCGGGTTCTCTTGCAGGATGGAGGTTTTGTCAATAGCTTTCTCCTCCGTAGGGGCACCCACCAGCTGCGTGTTTGAAGTTCGCTCATTGACCTAATGCAATGCCGCAGCTTCTCTCAAACCAATAGGATCAGGCCCTCAACATGGAACGTGATTTGACGAATGATGAGTTTGAGGCTTTAAATAGAAGGCGAGCGCAACAAGGCAAGGATCCACTAAGCTGGCGGGACGCACAGCGCCAGGCCCGGCGTAAGCCAAACCACAACAGAGGAGGAAAGAAGGCCAAGGCAGCGCCGTCCTCACAGCCTGTCACTTTCCTGCCGAGAGCGGAGGCTTCCTCCGTGGAGGTTTCCTCCGAACGAGCTCCTGTACAAGCTGAATCCATTTTCTTTCTGGTTCCTGATTTTGATCAGAGGGCCAGCGGGCAGGCATCCGACTGGAACACCAGCACTCATGTTCAGAGTCGCTATGCATGGAACAAGCGTCACAAGGAGCGTGAACAGTTGGATCCGACTAAGGATGTCATGGAGGAGGCCAAAATCTTTATCCGCACATTTCTGAGAACGCGAAAAGGTCCGAGCAACTCCGATTTGACTGCAAAGCTGGGAGACCCTGTCATGCAGGAAGGCTGGGTGCGCTTCCCTCTAAGAGATGTTGTTCAGAGATGCACTGGCACGGATGACAGAGTGGGCTATCATGGGACAAAATTGGAATCGCTCTACTCGATCCTGTATCTGGGAAAGCTGCAACCGTCCCAGGATGCCTCTCAAGGTGAACAATACTTTGAGGGCTACCCGGGAGTCTACATCCATTCCGGCAAGCATGAGCGCAAGGCAGAGTCATATGTGACGCATGTATGGTTTCCCATCTTGAAAGAAGGCAACAAGTCTCTCCGAGCAGTTGCGGCCAAAATTGCAGTGTCGTTCGACCAGGCTGCAGGTTCTCTCCGTGGCTCCAAAGCAACGGATCAGTATATTCTCAGGGAAGACTATGTCCAGCTAGAGGCGCTGCTGCTTCACATCACGGACTCACTGCCTTTGGGGACCTATGTGCAGACTGGCTGGAACCCGCTTGCGGAAGCTGCCCCAGTTCAACGCATAGCGAGGGAAAGACCGGAGGAGCCGAGTTCATACAGAAATCCACCAAGATCCTCCTCTCAGCCTGCCAAGGAGTCAACCTCTCACGATGATGATAACTCCACCCGGCAGCTCGCAGTTCCTCCTTGGAGAGTAAACAAGGCAATGGACTCTGTTCACAGTGCGCTGCCGACCTCCTTGCATCAGCCCGAAGATGATAGTGATGAATCCTGGGGGGTATGGTCACCAGCCGCTGCTGCCACAGCCACAGATCCACAGGTTCCATCTCATCAGGAAGTCCCACAGCAGCCAGAGGGAAGCAGAAGAGAGCATGCCTGGCAGCCAACAACTCAGCACACACCAAGTTTAGCAGATCTGGATGGTACTCTTGATCGGCTTTCTGGACGGGGCGCTCACGAAACCAGACGAGTGATGATAAGCAAGCTCCTCACACAGGCTCTCAGACATGACCCAGCGAAGTATGGCATTTCGCTAGACGCTGCTGGCTATGCCAACTTGAAAAGCCTTCTTAATTCCAGGCAATTTTGGCGGGCTGAAGTGACGGCTCATGAAGTACAGCGAGTACTGGAAACCTCACAGAAGATCCGCATGGAACAGATGACCTCAGATGAAGACGGCGAAATCTACATCAGAGCCTTACAGGGTCATGGCCACGACATTCCACTGGACGACGATCAACTGCATGAGGTTCTGACCTCATCCACAACACCGGAGTGGGGTGTCCACGGGACAAGCTGGAGGGCCTGGCAGCAGATTCGCTCCTCTCAGCTGCGCAGAATGCAAAGACGCGACATACATATGTCTTTGTCACCAACCAAAACTGCAGGATTCAGGGAGGACTCTTCCGTGGAGATCTGGATTCACCTGCCGTCTTTGATCGACAGTGGACACAGAGTGCGTCGGGCGAAGAATGGAGTACTGCTGACGCGTGGACCCATTGACCTGTCCCACATCAGCACTGTCATTGATCGGCACACAGGCAAGTCTCTGCCCTTCTAAAGCGTTCTCAGCAGCTTCACCTGAACCGAATTCGTTCTGCCGTGGTCTACTTTCGCAGCGGGAGGCTTCCTCCGGAGGCTTCCTCCACTTCATTTTAAAGTAGACAGCAAGTACGCCCTCTGCTTAAGGCAACAAAGACTTTGTCACAGCCTGCGTGAGTTGTCTCGATTACATGCTCTAAGAGTAGTTTCCCCATCCTCCACCTGCTCATTGCCCAGGTGCGCCTAGCGTCGCGCAGCCCACAAGCAGTGACAGGCGCTTCCTTCTGCAGTCCTTGTTTTTGAGCTGTGCAGCTTTCAGCTATAGCTCTTGCATGCCTGTCAGCAATGGTCAAAGCCTGCCTGCCACAAGAAACCGCCTCACTCTTCCGATCGCAGTAGCCATTCCAACCTCGAATCCAGCCATCAACACTCGAGTTTCCAATGGAGAGCACTAGCTTGGTACAAGCGCTCACTCCGCTCCTGGTTGCTCTCGTGCACCAGCAGGTAGTTGCGGAGGACCCGAGTATTTCCTCCGAGACTACCAGCGCAAGGGTTGCGGAGTACCTCCACACTCACAAGGTGAAAAACCTTGCCCAGTTCATGAACTACGCACATGAGGTGCTCCAAGGAGAGAGGTTGAGGACACTGCATTGGGCAGCACAGTCATTGACCGGATATGATGAATGGCGTGAAGTTAAGGCGGCCCGACGCCAAAAGTTGCGGAGCATCAGCCTCCGTTACTTAAGTCAGATGAGGTTCACCGGGCTTCCCACCACTCAAGGAACGTGGTTCTACATCGTGATCCTCACCGAACTTGAGAGCTTCTATAGGGAGACGCACATTCTCCGGTATACGTCAGGTATGCTGCCCTCGGATCTTGACGCTCAGTACCAACAAGAGGTTGGGCAGGTCCGTGATGAGTTCTTTGCCGAGGACGAGGAGATGAACATAGCGATCGCACAGTGGACCACCATTTCGGCAGGTCTCACCGCATGAGTGGGGGCTACCTCCGGAGGCTCCCTCCCCTTCCTGCACCTCGCCGATTCCCTGTACACTTTTCAACACATAAATCGGCCCTTTTGTAGGTGCGGCTCTTAGCCTGACTAGCCATGCCTCAGTATGGCAGAACTCCATTGGCACATAGGTTGATAATAGTGTCTCTTTCCTTCTTTCAGTTGGAGGTTTCCTCCCATTTTGCTTGCTCTTCATCTTCTTGAGACCTTCTGATACATTCAAGTGCAATGGAGCTTCTCCGGCAAGGGACTGCAATATCACTTGTCTAGCCTTGCAACAAGAGCAGATGGCTTTTGAGACCATCAGCGGCTACGAGGAAGAATCATGCCTGAGTCTGTGTTGCACAATGGGGATCTCACTCTCCTGCCCCATGCGGAGCACACCGCTCGTGACGCAGGCTGCATTTGGCTGACGTCATCCGATGCTCTGAACTATCAGGCAGGGAGTGATCTCCAGATAGCATTGCTTGCAGCTAATCATCTCGTTGGCACCAGCGTGCATGCTCACTTGATGGCACACTCAGTTGTGGGCAGCTTGCGCTTCAGGCAAGCTATTTTTATAATTTTTATTTATTTTAGTCAGCAAGCTGGCAATCTTGATTTACTTTAGTTTGCATGCACTTTTGTTTCTATCTTTATTTGATCTTCCCGTTTTCTTGTACCTTTTTGAATCACTGCATCAGTATAGGAGGTTTCCTCCTGCTTTTCCCTGATCCCATTTCTTCTCGTCCAGGTGTGAATTTGCCTTGTCGCAGCGCTGGCCCTAGCAGCCGCGCAAGGCGTCTCAGGTAAGGCTTTGCAAACCCAGCTTCCCTGCTTCCACTTTGGGTAACCTACTTGGAACGTGCAAGGCCGCCTTGGTGCGCTCTGCCTACGGCCCTCTGCCAGTCGTTTAGCGTTACCTGTGTGAGACGTCACTAGACGGGAACGCTGAGTGTCGGCCTCACAAGAGGTACGGCTCGCTAAACAGCTGGTGCGTGAGTGCTGGACGCAGTGACTCACAGTAGGGTGTCGGGGTGGCTGTGCTTACTTTCACACCTTTGCAGTGCTGAGTACTTGATATCGGAGGTTGCCTCCGCGCGAATTTCAATTTCTTCATTGTTTTGCTGCGTCAGATCAGGAGATTTCCTCTTGAATCTCCTTAAGTACTCTGCCAAAGCAGATTCAGTATAGCATGTAGTGAGATATGACAATCTGGAGGAAGCGAACCTCTCGAGGTCCCAAAGGCCGGACTGTGAATAACAAAGGCGGGTGAGACCTTCTATATTACACTTGCCCGCCTTAATCACACCAAACTCAGCTAGCGCACAGCTATAGCCTGCAACACAACATCGGGGCCAGCCGGCACTGCAGCAATCGCGGGTGCAGGTGAGCCAGTAAGAAGCGGTCGTAAGGTGCCCAGCCAGCACAGCGCTATCGCAGCCCCGAGGGGCGGATGCATTCCACATACTCGAACATAGCTGTGCACAACAATCCTTTCAGCAGCCCTGAGGGGCGTGAAGCACGAACTAGCAAAGACTGCTGGAGCTCCCAAGGCGGATACAGAGTAGCCGACGTGCCGAGGATCCAAAGTGATCAGAGGTCCACATGCTGATTCTGGCAGTGAGTGCAATGCAAAAATGTTGTTGTTGTTGTTGTTGTTGTTGTTGTTGTTTGTTGTTGTTTGTTGTTTTCTTTCTGTTCTTCTCTGGAGACTCATGTCAAGACTCTGGGGCCTCAGGAGTCCCTGAAATAACTCCAAAGTCGTCCCATGGTAGGTACGCCCCCCAAGCCCTGCACCCGGAGCTTTTCAGCGGTCGCTGGCGCGACGAGTGGCTGGCAGATGGCTTTCTCAAGGTGGGGGACTTTTTAGCATGCAGAGGCTCCGCAAGGGCAAGAGAGTGAAGGGGATGCCCGCATGCTTGCCGCCACGAAAAGCACTTGAATGGATCCACAAGCATCAGCAGCTGCAGCAGACGCAATGACAGCGACTCAGCACGCAAACCTCTCAGGTTCAGTTTCGAGTCTTGAACACGTCAGTGCCTGTCGCCGATGCATCTACACTGTAAGCGGCACATCAAGAGATGTTGCCAGATCTCGAGAACTGTCCCTGCACAGACGGTAGAGGTCTCAAGACCTCGTCTTTTGCTGCACCTCGAAACTTCCTGGAAGTCTTGGGGAACGGTTTTGCCTAGCTTGTGAGAGATGTTTCCGGTTCAGGGCCTTGCACATAGGGCTTGTCGAGGGTTTACGAACTTGGATGGGATTGGGCTCAATGGGCTTCATCATTGGGGAACCTATTCAGGGCTCATTCAGGGTCTGTAAAGGGCTCCCAGCCGACGAGGCCATCCGCCAAAACGATCCGGCTGTGTGGAAGAGCATCTTGACCGAGCACGTGCCAGGGCAGGTGACGCTCAGCTACGCAAGTTGCTCCACAAATCGGGGTGCGGGGGGGGGGGGGGGGGGGGGGGCTGATCCGGGCTCTGGGAAACTCAAGAGTTTGCGGGGCTGCATTGAACTTTGTCTCACATTTTCCCACCACCACGCCGAAAGGTATTCCTTCCAGATGGTGACAGAGGCAAAGGGTCGGACGCACCGAATTGGGGGACGCACCGAATTGGGCGCTTGCAATCCTTCAGATCGGCCAGGCATTCTGCGAAATGTTCCTGGAGGAGGTGTTCAACTTCTACAAGAGCCACCCGACCCATTAAGTGTCAGTCTCGTTTCACATCCTCATCACTACACCGCTTCTGACGGCTTCTTGGCCTAGGTTTTTGATCGTCCCATGAAGGTGCAGACTCGGTATCGTTAGCACTCTCCCAGTTATCAGGTTGACACTCTGCATGTCTTCTGATATGCCCGGGACATGCACCGCTGTTCCGACGGGCCATGGGCCCGCGGTGGAGGATGTGCACCATCGCATGCGCGAGAGAGAAAGAACCGTAAAGAACCAACATCAGTAAAAGCAGTTGCTGGTAGAGATGCATAGAAGTATGGCCTTTGAACTCTCTATGCATGAGAGCTGAGGTGGGCTTCCCGCAAGACGTCCCAATAGCGCCTTGGCTTCATCCTACTGAGCCGCTGCTCAGCAAGCTGTAAGTTCCAAATCGCATTTGCCCTGAAGGGGAAAGGGCGATCAACCGGCAAAGCGACTGAAAGGACAAAACTCTCAGGGAAGCAAGTGACCATGTGGTCGTGTGCAGGGAGCGTGCAAAATTGCAGGCATGAACGCCTACGGCATCATCCTAAACGACATCGGGCTTGAGCCCCTCATCGACGAGCTGCAGCGACCAGAGGGCATTCAGAGGGCAGGTGAGGAATCAAGGGGTATCACAACGTCTGTCGTAGCGGCTCCTCTCCCCTTCCCTCCCCTGACCTCCCCTCGCCTCGCCTGAGAAATGGATTGAAAGGTGGCATCGGTTTATTCATTTTTTTTTTTGTGTGTGTGTGTGTGTTTTTGTTTTTCGTGTTTCTGTTTGATAGTTTCTCATGGTGCCGCACTTGACGCTGCGATGCGTATGTGCGAGTGCGCTCCGCTGGCGTGATCAGACACCTGTGGGCGAAAAGCGAGTCAGGAGCTGTAGACTGACCTCAATAGCGTGTGAGAAGACCAATTGTTCGTGTTGTTGTCTGTGTTCCGTCTGCATCCGTCTGCCATATAATGTAGTCTGTTCGTTTGGGAACATCCATTGGCTGATCAGTAGCTCACGAAGCTGGAAGGCCTGAGTGTTTGTATGAGCCAGAGAACGCTACCTCACAAACACCCAACGAAAGCCTGCACACAGGAGCACGGCAGACTCAGGGACATGCATATGCACGGGCTGTAATCCCTGTCGCAAGCTGATGCTTCAGCTGTAGCACTGTAGGCGTCATGTTCAGCCACTTGGCGACCTCCTCTTCCCTGGCCCTGGCAGCTGCTGGGAGTCTTGGCGCTACCTTTGTGCTTCGCATCATGATGGTGTTTGGGTGGGTAGTACTTCTTGGTGGACAACTCTTGTTATTTGTGTGGTTTCTGCGTCCTCGTCTTCCTCTTCTTCCTCTTCTTCTAAGTTCTAACTGTCTCTGCTTGCGTGGCCAGTGGACTAGTCGAGTCATGCGAAAACCCCCCCCCCCCCGCCCCAAAACTCGTGTAAGCCCGCTACATGGCCCTGCACAGAGCTACGTGTGTCCAAGGATGGGCATCATTGCTTCATTGAAGCTAAGCTGCACCTGTTGCCAACACGTGTTGCCAAGTCCTGCACATCATCAAGCTGTCGTTCACGACGCACTTTCAGGTTCATGGCATCCCATTACAACCCTACGGCTTTCCTGGCTCTCTGTGCCTGCTTGCGGGCGCTCTGCATCTATAAGGTTCGCTACAGATCCGGCGAGGATCTCGGTCTGGACATGCACACCGACGACTCGGCGCCTGGCTTGCAGTCACAAGACCCCCCCCACCCCTGACTTGTGAGACGTGAGAGTGAGGGTGAGAGAGAGCGAGCCTTTTCTTCGTTCTGCAGTCTCCACAACAGTTCGAACCAAGGAAGATGTCTTGCAATGCGTTGCGGTGTTTCGTGATGAATAAGTTTTGGTGATGAACACATTAGAACGCATGAAACCAATCCACTAATGCTGTAGAAAACTTTAAGGATTCCATGTGCGAATAATCTTGGCCTTGCGCTCTTCTACTAATCCTCAATGACCGTACTACTATGCCGTGGAGACAATCTTATTGTTTGCACGGTTATAGCTACAGCTTTTGCATGTTCGTATCTTCATATTATTTCACGGCAAAAGGCCGTAAATATGAATAAGATAAAGAGTGAGCAGAAGAAAGCCGCATTTTCCCCGGTTTTTTGATGCGCTTTAATTTAGTTTTCCTTTATCTTTTTATTGGGATTGTTCATTGGCTTCTTTCCCTTTATTTGGAGGAGTTACTATTTTACATTACATTTTCTCTTCAAAACCTTCAAAATCACATGAGATTCGTGATTGAATGAAACGTACGTGCATAAGGTAAAAGTGCCAATGAAATACAATCATGTCTTTGTGCTGTGCATTGCATGGGCAAAGCGCAGGGCCGTCACCGGCTGTTCCGAAGAGTCTGCTCGTACTGCTACCAAGGATGTGACGATGAATCTCTGCTTGGGTTTGGAGTTTGCGGGGGCTGGCTTGCAGTTTTGCGGCATGATGGGCGCAACAGATCATCGCAAGCACTGCTACACGTACTTCCACAAGAAGGCGGCTCGGATGCTGAGGAGAGTCGAGCCATGCTAATACGTGGTGTTCAGAACACCAGCAAACATGTCGATGGCCTTTGTGAAGAGGGCAGCTGCGTCGTTCACCTGGGCCGGCGGCGGCATGGCGCCGACGACATCACGCGGCTCTGCTCAAGAGAAGAAGTCCGAAGAGGGGTGCTAAACGAATAGACGAATCTTGAGTCGGGTAGTAGGGGCCAACGCTCGGGGGAGTTCTCAGCTCGGCGCCTCCGGATTCAGGAGTTCTTGAAGGAGCAAAACAGCAAAAATGTCTGATAGCAGTAAGGCCATGGTAAGACGAACTGGCGATTTGGCGTTTTTGAGTTGCAGTCTTTCAATGACTTTCAGTGAGGCGTACATGTCAGTCTCAGGTCTGGGGAGCGATTGAACCTCATTTTGTGGAATCACTCCAGCACGTCCCCGATCTGCACGTGAGCAGAGATGTGAGCAGAATCGCACAGCAAAAATGTAGCAGCCGACATATTGATTCGTCACAAAGCTCACTGGGCTTGGTCCGCCGCAAGTGATTCTCAGGTACAGGGCAAGCCACTTGGTTGTGATTTGAGTTCTGAAAGGTCATGTGCAAGGATGTTGACACCCCAATTCCTTGGAAAAGGGTCTGAGAGTCCGAGGTAAGCTTTGAAGCCTGAAGTTCGAACCCAGGGTCGCACAAAATGGCTGCAGGTGACGAGTCCGAGAATCCCGACTACCTTGTAGAAGAAGGCCCATCCACCATCAGCTGCAAGAGAGCACCAAGAAATCTCTTTGTGAGGGCTTGGAAGGACAAGAGAAAAAGGCAACAAGAAAGAGAGAGGTGCTCCGGACCCCGTTTGCGTCAGCTACACGCACGACCGGGACTTCGGAAACTTCAAGGCCGCCTCTCCGGCAATTGAGACTCCCGTTCGTTACCTCTCAACTTACTGTCTCTGTACTCCCTTTTTGTGAATGACATTGAGACGTTGGTTGACATATTTTGACATTCTGGGGTGTGGGAATGTCTCCCTGATTCGGGACTTGTGACCAGCCACCAGTCACCAGTCTCCATGGCGCTGGAGCAAAGTCTGGGCATGACAGCCTGCAGTGTGGTATACTGTGGTATTGGTCAGTGTGCTGTCTTGAAGGCAACATGGGGCTGTTGAGAGGAGTGCAGTGCATGTTGCATTGCATGCCTCCAAGGAGTATCCAGCAGGCAAAGAGCACTTCCGCGGTCGCGGCTGGTGCCCTCGGAGAAAGATGGAGTACGAAGGACCTTGCCTGTTAGTGTACGCTTTTGTGACGGGCGATTGCTAGTGAATGCTACCTTCAGGATTCACCCCAGACTGCCGGGAGCTTGGGATTCTTGAGTTAGGCTCAGGGGCGTGTGGAACTTGTGAAGCTCAGGTGAGGAAGAGCAAGCCCCACGACGCTGACAGTGCTGAGACTCGTCATAAGCTGATTCTTGGGTGTCTGCAGCTCACTGCAGGCACCCCCCAATTGATCTGAGATGAAGAGACCTTGAACTGCTTGCAGGACAAATCCGCAGTAGTTCAAGGTCCATTCATCCCTCCCGCAAAAACGTTCCGATGCGAACGCGCAGATGGCATCGCGCTGCGCAGAGATTCTCGTACCATGCCTATGTGGCACAGATGCAGCTGATCTCAAGCGCTCGAGGCTTCTGCTGCGGTTTAGACTTCGCATCTTGCCGTGAATTTCGCCACCATCTGGCCGTCGACCTCCAGCAACAGAACTGTCACATCTGAATGACTGCACAGGAGGAAGTGCGCAAGAGGTAAGCCTGTCGTGAGCTCATAGGCACTGCCAGAAACAGTAATATTCTGTAGAACTTACTTCTTGCAACTTGCTTCGCTCAGCCGAGACCTGTGCAGGAACTGCATGTGCACTGGCCTGTCGTGCATGGCGACAGAAGCATCTACGAAGGTTTCTCGAACAGAGCCCCTTTTATTCCCTTATTGAAACTGCGATCACTGTTGTGGCATTGACAGAAGCCCGGAAGTTTGGAAGCATGAGCTCAGAAGGGAGTTGTTAAACAGAAACCCTCGCTGCCCATGTACAGCTTCGCCAAAAAAAAGCCTGGGATGGCACGGGGTAGGCTCACGGCTCATTTGCTCAGTTCAGGTTTGGCCGAGGTTTCCCAGCACCTCGCGAACTGGCACGAATCCCCATCGCACAGCCCACTCTGTCGCCACAGAGCCATGTTTTGCAGGTCGTCGGCAGCACCGCAGAGGCCGAAAGCCAACGGGCCTCCAAGGAGCAGGCACAAGAGGGATGCGAAATTCGAAGGGGGTGCAAAGAGCAAAAGGGAAAGTACAAAATGTACAAAGTTTGAGCCCTCTGAGAGCCCTCCGTGGGTTTTTTCAATATGTCATAGAGTCGCTCTCTCTTAGCGGGGGGGGGTCAAAAAACTGGCCTGATTGACTTTGGCCTGGTGGTAAAGAGATGAGACTCAGGCCGCCGAAGCGATACTGACGATCTTCACCTCCATGGACTCGGCGACGACCTCAGAGGTTCCCCCTTTGAGGTGCGCTCAGAGCCCTTCCAAAGCCCTGGAAGCCCAAGCAGAGCCAGTCTGGATGTTCTGGGTTTTCCAGGTTTTTCAAGGAGGCAGTGTGTTGTCCCTTCTTCCTGAATCATGTCAAGCTCTGTCCAAAGCTCCAATCACCACCTTCGGCGAGTTCTGGAGGCTCAACGAGTCAGGGCATGTGTGTCGCCCAGGATGGTAGTGGACTTATCTCGAAAGAGGAGTTCGCAACCATGTACCGCCTGCCATGTTTATGCCGACAGCAGCATAGATGCCCCGGCCGGAAGATTCCGCGCCTGGAAATAGATCAGGCTGCAGAAAACCACTGCAGGACAGACAGCTGCTGAGAAAATGCCTGGCCAGGAAGTATGACTCCAGCGTCATGGCTGCTCTGCGCGATCTGGGGATCAAGGTGCCCGTGTTGGTGCAGTGCTGTACCTGCCGTGTCAACTGGCTTAGGTTCCCATGATTCCTTGCAAACATCTTCCGGCAGAGTGCAAAACTGTCAAAATCTGACGCCTGCGTGACACCCGGAACGACGACGACCCTCCAAACATCCCCCCATCCTTCTCCCCTCTTCTGGGAGGGGAAGCTTCCTTCCAGCAGATGTTTTCCAGGGTTCAGGTCTTGCTGCGTGCTTAGCCACAGGATGTGGACCCTAATCTTTCGGTGGGTGAGCTACAACTTGCCACAATTTGCATCTCCCTCTCTCTCTCTCTCTCTTTCTCTCTCTCTCTCTCTCTCTCTCTCTCTCTGTTTCTCTCTCTCTCACTCTCGTTTTCTTTGGTGGTTGCTGGGTGCGCCTCGGAGCGCTTCATCAATATATTGGCGCTTCAACGCGTGCATTTCACAGCCGGGGTCCCTGAGAGGGGCTTCGACTGTTGCGTTCAGCTCCTTCTCAAGCGCGCATGTAGAACACGCGAGGAGACGACAAAGACAGAGGCCAGGCTTGCACCAAGGCTCTAAGGCTTGGCTCTAGGCTTTCTAAACAACAGCTGACGGTGTGGTGTGCTCCTTGCTGGAGTTGGGCGGTGCACGTAGCCACGTAGCACAACCCTTTCCCAGAGCTCCTGTTTCTGCACAAAGCTTCGAAGCAATCTCCAGACACAGAAGAGAACCATCATTCCATGCCAGCGGCACTCTGTCTTCCGCATCACGGCGGAATTTTGTTCCGCAGGGCCAGGGCCTGGGTCGTTGGTCACAAGCCACTTCGGAACTGCCCTGTGTTGGGACTGGCTGTGGAATGTTTTTTTTGTGTGTGTGTGTGAGAGAGAGAGTGCTGCTGCGAGACCCTGTGATATGGAGACGTGCGGTTTTGAGTGCGAGCCATCCTCAGCCTTAGCTGCCTCGTAGAGCATGAGAGCGCAATCTGTATCTTAAGCTCACGAAGTCGACCAGTGCGGGCGGCTTTCTTTTGAATCCATGGCCGCAGTCCTTGTCAGATTCGAACGCTGTGCTGCATTCATGCCTTGCAAGGAGAAGCAGTTTGACATGTACGTGCAGCTGCTGTTCGATCCGCCAGATAGGGATCCTTCCCAGCAAGGCTCGGCATGCAAGAGAGACAGAGACAGAGAAACAGAATGTGTAATGGACGAAGTGGCAGCTCTGCTCAGCTCCCTTCTGCCCTCTGCTCAGCTCTGCTCAGCTGCAGGCGAAGCAGTAAGCATGGGCCTGGAGAATCTCGTGGAAGCCCTGTGCCCGGCGCTCACGGCGACGAGGGGTTGCAAGCACTCGGGGCGCAGTGGACCCCCTCCAGCATGCAGCTCATCAGTACATTCCAAGATCTTGAGCTCTTCCCTGTCCTCTCCGCTTCAGTTCGATGAGTCTCTCCTCGTCTGGACATAGCGGGCACAGCGGGCACCGCGGGCACAGGTCGGCTTAGACCTGGGGTGGCTGTCAACCTTCTCGATTGGTCCACGCCGGGGGGCCAAGCCAAGAGTGCATGGTGCAATGTGAGATGTGTGTGACATGTGAATCCAGTGCTGGTTCGGGGGCTTTGGGGGCTTTGGGGGCTTTCGAGGCTTTCGGGGGTTTTGGGGGCCGTCATGGGCCGTCTCAGTGCGGGGTTCGGCTGAACACTCCATCGACCTCCGAGGTTCAAGACCGCGGTGCTGAGAAGTCAAGATGACGTCCAGGCTGGACATGCTCTGACACGCCTCACTCCCTTTCCACCGCTAAGCACGCAAGCCCCCGTTCTGTCAATTAAGCGGACATTCAAAAAAAAAATCGAAAAGTAAAAAAGTCGAAAAGTTTTCGACTTTTTGACTTTTTGACTATTGACTTTTCGACTTTTCGGGACTTTTCGGGACTTTTCGGGACTTTTCGGGTTTTCGACTTTTCGGACTCCTCCCTTGGACCCAAAACGGTATTCCTACGCACCACCAGAAAAACAAAAAAAGGAAGTTGTTCCAGCCAAGGAACTTCGCGATTCTCCAGAGCATACAACAGTCTCTTCAACGAACCACTAACCAAAACGTCACGCTCGACCCTATAGGCTTTCAACCTTACGACCTGACACTTTCAAGCCCCAGACCTCAACTCTATAAACCAGACAAGGCTTCTTCTTATATCCTCAACCACAAGCCGCTGCAAGCTGCTCGCTTTCGGCATCCAGTCCACCCCCTCCCCCCCTCGTTCACGTTTCGACTTTCAGACGCTTTTCGCAAGTTCTCGACTTATCTGGGCTTTACCGACTTTTACGCGTTTCCATTTTGTTGCTTTTCCACTTTTCGACTTTTTGACTTTTCGACTTTTCGACTTTTCGGGATTTTTCGGGATTTTTCGGGACTCTTCGACTTTTCGACTTTTCGACTTTTCGGACTTTTCGGACTTTTCGCGTGAAGCTCTTGTCCAAATCCACTTTTCGACTTTTCGACTTTTCGACTTTTCGGGTTTCTTTGTCCGTACTCCACTTGCGGCTGCGGACAGCTGTTCGCAATCACAGGTTTCCACCGGATGGACGTCTTTTGGGCCAGCATGTCCTGCTCAACTTTTTGTTGTCTGAGGAACGCGTGAAGAAGGTGTACCGCCTTTTCCGCCAGCGATCCAAAGGTGCATACCTCATGCTGTTTAGGGATTACGACTGGACCCTGCTACCGTGTCTTCAGTTGTTGCTGTAGAAAACCTATCACAAACGCCCTGGCTGAGCCCGGGATCAGGAAAGACATGTAATCAGAAAAGCAATCAACAAGAAGGGCGCTTCTCTCAAGCTGGATTGCCCCCCAAATATGCAAAACAGAAGAGTAGCCGTTCTCCTCACGTGTTTGTTTTTCTTTCTGGTAGCTCGAGGCCCAGAGCGGCCGCCGCCGGTCAAGGTGCAGCCTCTCCAGGACACCACACTGCCTAGAGCGCTGTGGTCTGTGCTGTGAGCTGGCTGCTTCTTCGTATCCGGCGGAATGCACAAGATGCGAAATTTTTGCGTACACTTCGTGAACTTCTCAAAGAAGCAGGAGCTGGACAAGCCCAAGTGGAAGCTGAGCAGCAACATCATGGCAGAGCTGGAGCGAACATCCAGCCACTGGGCTTCCCATGTCCTACCTTTTTTATATTAAAATCCTGCAAGTGAAGGGCCGCAGAAGTCGCTTCAGGCACTGTTGGAATTCTATGAGAATGCGCACGGATAGTTGCGGGCATTGGCGTTGGGGATGTCAAGGATGTCAAGGATGATCGTGTGGTCGGATGGCTGGGGTAGGGGGTGTTGGGAATGGGTCTAGAAATTGGCGATGTTAGGATGACTGGAGGTCTCGGGTGGGCTGTAGCATGGGTTTTTGGTGTGTGGGGCGTGGCAGCCGCAAACGGAGCCCAAAATCACAAAAGACAGAGGGGCTTAGGGCAGGCTTGCCAGAGGTCTCCCAGGCCCAGAGCCCTCAGGTCGAAAACCTCCAACGCCAC